CAGGTCGCCGCTGGAGATGAAGCCCGTCTGGCAGGCCGGGCAGGTCCTGGCGTCGCTGGACATGGTCGGTGAGTAGATTTTTCTTGTATAATTGCTCTTAAAGGAAGCTCTTAAGCTTGGCGTGAAGAGAAAACGGAGGCGAGCAGTGGAGTCGCTCCACTTATATACCCACAAGGGGTGCCCACGTGGTGGGCGTACATTTAAGCTCTTCATGATTGGCTGATGCTGAGATCACCCTTCCAATAGCAGCTCGCTTAAGGGCTAAGACTAGACGAAATAGAACACGTTTGTTGTCTATAATGGGAGGTGGCCACCACCGCCATTTTGACCGTGTCACAGGTTCCGTCCAGCCCAGACAATTCCATAAAAGGGAAGAGAGGAGGCGCTGAGGGTGTGGCTGTAAGGCTGGGCTCGAGCATAGACTGTACATACACCCATTTGGGCGCTGGAGAGCGTAAGAGCGTCGTCGCCATGTTGGATGGGTCTCCTCACTCTCCACTCTTTGTTAGCCGTTTAGCTAGCTGAGCAAGGACACACAGGAGGTGTCTTGTAGCCTAGCCTTGGTCAAAAGTTAACCACATATTTTCACGGTATTTTCAAAAAGACGGCGGATTAGAAGCCCGCAGCTACTTCGGGGACAATTTTCAAGTTTAAAAGTAAGTCAGCTAGTTTACAATGTTTTTTTTTAGATCGAAAGAAGTTATCTGTTGTTGGTTAGTAGCTGCAGCTTCTGTGGCTAGCGGGTAGTAACTATCTTATATTTTTAATTTAATAAACATATACACAATTTAAAAAGTAAAAGGCTCATTTTATATTTATATTGAAACTAACATGTATAAAATATAACGTTATCTCCCGTGTCACATGATCTTACGTGACCGCCGTGGAAGCCGCGGTCACGTGACGCAAGTCGGTTCCATTTAACCGTTTTCTTTGACCAAGAAAGTACAGTGTCCTTGTAAGCAATGCGCCTGGCCTCGCAAGACATCACCTCTCAAGGCAAGACGCCTTGGCATTGACAAACACCTAAGGTAGCTACTAGCTTACTACACTAGCCGCCAAAGCTAGAGCTTCAGGGCAGCTGACATTCTCATCGTTTAAAAATCAATGTCACCTGTCAGTTACGTCACCCCCTTTTGCACTCCCATGATCCATTTTAATTTAATTAGTTGTCGAACCTTGGGACACACTTTCATTTTCAAACTCCCCCCTTTTCTCTGAAACAGAATCCCGTCAGTCATTCTGTTTCAGAAAACTCAACAATGTTTTAGCATTTGGAATTAGTAGTTTTACATGATAATTATGATGGGTAAAATTGTTTTTTATGTCATTTACACTCAAAATGTACCTTTAAGAGTGAGATTTTGTGAGCAATTACCTGTATAATGTTGTGCAGTGATGCCGTCAAACATAAAATGTTTTTATTTCTAATTTAATTCTCCTAAAAAAACCTCCACAGCCCCACCTTGCATTTAAGTTAAACATTTTTCTTTATTTCATGGAAATACAACATAATTTTATATCCTTTGCAGGACCATTGTTGTACATTTCATATTTTTTTAGTCTTTTTTAAAACTTCAAAACATCATCACTTGTACAACCATAATCATAAACAAAGCCTCATGTCACAAATGGAGCCACTGATGACAATAAATTACATCTGCCATGCTAAGGTTTCAGAAATGTTACATTTGTACCTTCATTTTCACTACATTAACCTGCAAATGAACAATAACTTGGATCTGAATAAATATGATAAAAAGACACTGGATTTTACAAAAGAAACGTTCGTCCTTCGAAACAGAGCAGAAACAAAATGCTGAGGCTGTTTTGGAAGAGTTGCTTCTTTATAATTAATTTATTTTTATTCATATAGAGACCAAGAAGAGGGGGAGAATTTGCATATTTGATAACACTACTAAAGCTAAACCAAGAGTCCCACAACAGTAAATACTGACTATATTTAGGAAACTGCTCTGCAATTCATATTTAGTTATTTAGTTTTCCTTTATGGTGAGAATTTCTTACATATGCTCATCCACTCACACACAGCCTAGAGGTATTTTCTCATCTTACTTCTTCTGTGTTGTTTCTTAAAAAAAAAGAAGAAAAGAAAAAGCAAATACATTTATTCAAATGAAAGTTGTCTAAAAACTGTTAAATAACATTGCAATATAAAAATCTTTCAAGCTAACAACAACTGTTGAGGTTTCCAGTTAATAGCAGAGAGGCAAGTCTGGAGAGGACCAACTAAAATATGAGTTCATTAAAAACAAGAACAGTTACGACAGTCAACACTTCACCTTGTTCCACGGGGAATTTTTTACAGTGAAACTGGTATAAAAATGTGTAAGGAGGCAAAAAAAAAAAGAGATCAGGTTTTATTAAAATAAATTAAACAAACTCCAGAAAGGCAGCTGAACATGAGATGCTGTGTACCGTTAATAGCATATTATTATGGGATGGAGACGGAAACCAGTTGAGGTCTGGAAAAACAGATGTGGGTGATTTAAATGTTGGAGCATGTAAATGTCTTCAGATGAGCCAATCAGTTGTGTTTAGCCCCAAATACCACTATTTTAAAACTTGACTAATCTAATTAATGTTTTTGTTTATTTATGTAGGCTGTAGTTTTAAATTGAGGTCGACAGGATGTCGAGTTTCTAGGACAGAGATTTATTTTGGTCTTGTGTGCCAGTGGTCCGAGCAGCTGAAGTATCAGAAGAAGGCATGCATGAATCTGAGTGAGAGGACTAAAAATTAAAATAAAACATGTGAATAAACCTTCTACCATCCTTGAAGAGTCCAAATATATTTTAGAACAAAGGAAACTGTTTGAGAGGATTTGGATTCTTAAAGCTGGTCTGGAGCTGAAGACCAGAAAGAGGCAGAGATTAGCATCGCAGCTAAGGGGGGAAGTGTGTGTGTGTGTACTATTTATCAAGGCCCGGTTTCAACAGGTAGTGGCCAAGGACTGGTGTATAGGAGGCTGGAAACAGCGGACATGCTCCACGGTGGAACTGTCCGTCTCCACTGCCTTCATGTACTTGTTGAGGATGGCAAAGATCTCGTTGTTAAGGATCTGGTACTTCCTGATGCGGTCGGCCATCTTCTTCAGGGGCTGTTGAGGAAAACAAAAGATGTCTGTAAGTCAACCGGCTTGAGAGAGACATTCATAAAGATGGCCGAGAGACTACCGACCACATTCTTGATGATCTCGTCCTTGCCATCCTGCCGTTGGACTTTGAGCAAGTGGTAGCAGAAGTCAAAGAGGTCGAAGCGACGCTGCTGTCCGAGCAGCACGATGATGGCGCAGCCGGCCCAGTTCAGCCCATCTCCAAAGCACTGCCTGGAAGACAAGGCGTGCACACGACACTCCGTTTTAACCAAGCGATGGACTGTTCTGAACATGTGACCGGTCTATTCATCTTCTCATGCTGGTTAATGGAAACATTACATATCAGAAATGGGAACATCAACATTGAGAAAATAAAGCAAAAACTCAAATTTAAAGCAGGAGCTGAAACACAGTTGCCTCTACATGTATCCCTCGGATACTTTTACTGAGACTCACTTTATTACTCTGATTCACCACATGATTAGTTACAGATCAACATCTGGAAGGTTGTTGTTAGATATTTTTCAGAAAGCAGAAAAGAAACGAGTCATTTTGCACGTTGATTATTATAATTTTCTTTACTGGCTACACTACAGGAATACTTCAGTTACGTTCACGAGCTTTGGGTAGTGATCGAAAGAACGAGATCGCAGATCCAAGCGGCCAAAATGAGTTTTCTCCGCAGGGTGGCTGGGCTCACCCACAGAGATAGGGCGAGAAGTTCAGTCATCCAGGAGGGGCTTGGAGTAGATCTGCTGTTCCTCCACACCGAGAGGAGCCCGTTGAGACGGCTCAGGCATCTGGTTAGGATGCCTCCTAGATGCCTCTCTGGTGAGGTTGTCCGGGTATGTCTAACTGGGAGAAGATCCAAGGGAAGACCAGGACCCGTTGGAGGCACTATCTTTCTCAGTGGGCCAGGGAATGCCTTGGGATTCCCCTGGAGGAGCTGGCCTATGTGGCTGAGGAGAGGAACATCTGGGCTGCTGAACCTCATGACTCAACTGATAAGCCGATAAAAATGATTTTATGGATGGAATTTCAAGATTTTAAGTCAGTATCTTACTGGGCTGCAAGTGCTGGGGAGGAATCTGAAGCAATCATAAAGTTTTCGAAATGTCTCAAACAATTTGCAAGAGTTTTACCAAATATAATGATAATAACAACAACGACAACGCAATATTATTTCTACACTTCCTCAGAACAACAATATTAGTAACCATTAAAAATGTCGTCCCGACAATAAAACCATTTCTTCTGGAACAGCTTTATAAAGTCTTGTTACATTGTTCCATTCAGCAACCTGTGCAGCTAACAGCTGCCAACTCCAAGCTAACGCTCAATAATATCAGTGATACACAAACAGCCTGGAGTTACTCACTCTGCTGTGAACTCGTGCGTCCCGACAGGGATGCAGTAAACAAACTGCATGGCGCTCCACAGGCGATGGAACTCCATACACTCGTCAACGTGCATCACCCCGTTGGTGGGCGGAGGTCCACGCCACACCCCATCCTGCAGGAAGCTGCGAATGCGTGTCAGAATCACCTCGAACATGGAAAGGCCACAGCAGAGACGCTCTTTGGTCAGAAGGTCACCCTCCCGTGCAATGGCAATTTGCTGCAGAAAACAGACGTGCAAGTCTTTTGATGCTGCAAAGAATCTGATACAACTTTCTAGAAGCGCGTTGGACTTACTTGTGGGGTTCCTAACCTCTCGATTAGAGGCACGAGGTGGAGAGGGGCGTATTTTGCTTCCAGCCTCTTCATCCTCACCTCCAGTCGCTCCCCCTCTGTGAAACATACAAGCATCAACAGTTACAGCTAAAAACTAATCCACAGTTTTGCTCAGAAAATGTTGAACTGGGAGCAATTCCATCTACCTTTGATGTAGACTCTGGGTAGGATGTTCTGGAAGGGGGCAGCATGAAGCAGGTCACACACTTCCTCCTGGGACTATGATTCAAGCACAAGGATCATTTTTAGTAGGAACCAAACTGACTTCGCTTCACTGAAACCATCTAAGAGCATGCAGGCAGGCAGCCTCGAGGTTCCTTTGAGTTTGCCGAACCGCCTCGGCGACAGGCGGACGTCGGCAGGATTCACAAAAACATTACATAAAATTCGTGTTGGGAGCAAGCAATCCAGTTTACAATCAGCTCAGAGAGCTGAAAACACCGTGTGCAATGAGGCAGCGTGAATTTAGAGTGAATGCAACGAGGCAAAGCGGTTGCCATGGTGATTGTTAGTGACTGAATGTGGAAAGGCGGCATCTTGAAGCCTCGACCGAGACGAGAGAATCATGCAGCGACGACAGACACAGAGTCAGTGCAGTCACACAGGAATGATGAAAGTACAGGATACGAGCGTCATGTACTCAGGCATTCCAGGCAAACTTAAAAAAACAGGCGAAATCAGAAAGTTGAGCACAAAACTAACTAGGAAATAAAATGACCTCCCCCATGGAAGATAAGGACATTATAAGTAAAGCAACCTGACGTTGTTTTGGGCTGTTTGATGCTCTAAAACACATCAGATGAATAAATTTTAAAACATTTATACTGCAAATTACTCTGTTTAAGCTATTATTCTTTCACTGGAAGTCACCACTGAACAATGTGGATGCAGGCATGGAGTCTGCAGCTTGTGGAGGCGCTCCGAACTGAAGGGCCAAGAGAAAGCTTGTTCCTAAATGATGGGTGGCAGAATCGAACTAATCTGGATTTTTTTACACAACCTGCATGTTTTTTCAGCTTAGAAATCTAAACAAACCACAGCACTGCCAAAGGTACTTCCAAAATGCGGCACGGGGCCCATTTGTGGCTCTTGGGGTGATTTTGTGCGGCCCTCTCTTGTACTTCTAGAATGATGAATTTTGTCTCTCCAGCAGCTTCTTGGTGTAGATAGATACTTTCACATTTTTACTTTTATACCTATTTTGACAATAAATAAATCAATCCTATTAAACATTTTTTGTATAAAAAATGAAACTTTGTGGCTGCAAGGACTATTAACTTGACAATTTCAGCTCTTGTCTTACAAAGTTCAAACACCCCTGCAGTAGCAAAAGATTTGACACTGCTGGTTGGTCTATCCACGCTCCATTGTTGTCTCAGAAAGTCTACCATTGGCCTGAGCATTCTTACTTTCAGTCCAACACATTCTCACACCCAAAGCGTCAATATATGACACGTGTGACCAAGCCTCAATATATGACGATTCGGGATGCCCCAGCGTGTCAGGAGTCGACGATCATGGACACGCTGATGACGCATCATCCCAGAGCGTCAGTATCCGACGCCGGTGGTGAGACAGACATTAGAACGACTTATGAACTACTTAACCTTCCCCTCACCCCAATCCTAACCTTAAGGTCACAGTTACTGGGGAAGGTTAAATAGTCGAATAATGTCCGTGTGACCGCAGGCATCAAACAGTGACGCCAGCAGAGCCACGTGTCCCTGATCGTCGTCTCCTGACATTTGTATGATTCAGCTCTCAAAGATCACCGTGATCAACATGTTGTTAATAATTCTTGGAGAGAAATAGCTCGCACTGTCGGAAAAGACGAGGGCGCTGCTAAAAATGCTGGAAAAACATGAGGGGGCGATATGTGAAGGCAAGGAAGGGGAACAAAGGGAAAAGCGGTGATCCTGGTGGAAACAAGAACACTTCACCAATTCTAAAACAGCTGAGTTGGCTCTCACTGCAGAGACAAGCCGCATGAACCATAAACGCTGCAAGTTGTGAAGCGCGTTCCATCCGCGAGCTGCATCACCAAGCGGAAAGTGAATGCGTCAAGCATAAATCAAGCTTTAGTCACTCCCGCATCATGGGTCCCCGGAAGAACGAATAGGATTTCACATATGATGTCCGTGATTTTTAAAGACATATTTTGATACCAAGACGTGCTTATTTTCGAAGGGGTGGGGGGGGACGATATTTTAGGTTTTGTGTGAAAGTAAGTCCAAGACTACAAATGCGCTTCACAAAAAAGAGACGTCATTGAACCAGACACGGAGAAAGCTGAGGGAAAATGGCTGAAAGTTCAGCAAACTTCCCACAGGAGGAAAGAACCACCATAAATCTGGTCATGTGGTAAGTAGCAGCTACGCTAGGGGAGAGGAGATTATGTGGTGATGTCACATATGCGACGTGCCGATTTCTGGTGTGTAGTCATGCTAATTACGAACTTTTACAAGCTGATAAATCTCAAAGTACGTGACTGGCATGGTCGAAACACCCATCATTACTTTTCATTTAAATAGCAGTACAACATATGTGCGATCCAGGGCTTAAGGCAAAGCGGATTAGAAAATAAAGATTTTAGCCCCGTTGACTTCGATTAATTTTGTCGTTCTTCCGGAGACCCATGATGCAGAAGTAACTTAGGCTCCCTATAGGCAGCATGCTCCAAAGAGCTGAGGAGAAGAGGTCTGCATTCCAGCAACCAAAACATTCAAGTAAACATAAAAGTTTTAATAGAATAAACTTTAAACAGCATCTGTGACTTGGAAGAAACGCATTTTCTTTAAATTTTGTTTGCGCACAAATGACTGGAACCAGGACTAACCTTGACGACCTGAGAAAGTGAGCTATCATTAGCCTCACTTTTACCTAACTCTTTCAAATTAAAACTGAATTTACAGACACTTTGCTATATTGTGATACTGTTAGTGGGTAGACATTATTTTGAAGGACATGAGATTTTGGACAAGTCACAACCCTAATCTGAGTATATTGAGCATTGTTCATCATGCGTTATCCTAAAAGGCTTTCGTGAACTTCTATGACATTTTCTAAAAGCAAACTTTGGCTGTCGACACCCAATTATTAGGAACTTGCACATGCTTCTCATACATCACAGCTATCATATATTAATAAAGCCATAAAATAGTCTATCCGAGTCCCTTTGCTTCCATGGCTGATGGGAGGTGAAAAAGTGTGTAGCAGAAACACAAAAACATCAGAAACTCGGCAGCCGAATACAAGATAAAACAAGAAATCTGGTCTCTGTGTTGTTTTGTTACCAACAAGACCCGAGTTCTTACCACCTGTTGTTGTTGCCAGCGTGTAATAAAAAATAAAGTTGCATTTTAGGGGAAAACAACGTTAAAGATCAAACACACCTATGGACACTTAAAGAGAAGGTTGAGAGTATTTCAACTGTGACATTTGATTTAAGAAGCGAGTTAACATCAGAAACTGAGAAGAAACCTTGAGGAATCCAACTTACTGGTCATCCACATTAAAATTAAATTTGCAGCGGTCAAGACACCAACAGATGCTTAGTAATGTTTCTGTTTACTACCTCATAGAAGTAAGACAAATAAGTTAGGAGGAAAATATAAGAAAAAAGGACAGGAGAGGAGGATAAATGTTTTACCAGAGCTTGCTCGATGAGCAGGCAGAAGAGGATGGCATTCCCCACCTCCCTTAAACTCTGGAAGACATCTGTCTTCAGCTCAGCATACTCAATGATATCCTTGAGCTGGTGATGGAAGAACTCCAAGATTCCTGGAAAGTAAACAAAACCATCCTACCCTGTTATATGCAGCTTTTATCAAGAAAAATGCATTTTAGTCTAAAATAATGTAACGTCTCAGATAATCTCACAAACGCATTGGCAAGCTAGTACTATCGGTTGGATTACATTGTTGTCAACAAGTTAGGTGGTAGCCCTGACCCACATTTGATGAGAGCATCCGGCCCTCAAAGCAGAGCGCAGAAGGATCATTAACTACTGGCATAAGATCATAAGCCATGAGCTCGGTTCAGAACTGAAGGTGCAGACCATCAGTAATCTACAGATTACTTCCTCAAAGGGATAATCCATCCGACTGAAATCTGCACACACAGCTTGGGCAAAATACAAGGACGCAGGTCAGGTCAAACAAACACCCAAAGGTAGTGAAGTAAGGCACTTTTAAGGTTTAACTATCCCTTTAGTGGCTCAATTTAAACTATCTCATTTTCTGTATGGCATACTGTTTTTCTGCCACTGAAACTCCAGTAAATGTGAATGATTTTTGGCAGTAGAGGTAAAAAGGTCTCTGGTATCTCCAAAATTGATGGATCCATCAATGGCAGCAAGTAGTCCAGGCCCAGACCATCAAACTACCACCACGTCTGATTGTTGTTTTAGATTTATTTTTATTGCAGATGGAATGGGACGCACACCTTCCAAAGACGTTCGACTTTTGTCTCACCAGCCCTAGTAATATTTTCCTGGAAGGTTTGTCTCATGGAACGTACATGGAGCTGGCTCCAGAGAGAAAAGTTTAAAGATTGTTGATCAGCTAAAGAGAGAGCAAGCAGACGTAATATTATTACAAGAGACTCATAGATCGGCCACATCTGCAGATGAACTTAAACATCCGAGTTTCCCAGCATGTTCTCTGCCTGTTATAACTCTAGGCAAAGAGGTGTAGCTATTTTATTACACAAAAACATCAATTTCACAGTATTGGACAGTTTCTGATCCAGAGGGTAGATTTATAATGTTGAAAATATCTGTACAGAACCAAAGCTTATTTATCGTCAGCATATACTGTCCAAATATTGATGACCCTTCATTCTTTCATAATTTTTTCTCTGTACTCTCTGAACACTTGGACTGTCCACTTATACTTGGAGGCGATTTTAATTTTTAGATGAACTCTTTAACAGACTGGCTCAGTAGTACAGCTGGGACTCAGCGCAATTGGCAATCCACTAACATAATTAAACAGTACATGAGTGACTATGGGCTTTGTGATGCATGGCGATCTCTCAATCCTAACCGTAGAGAGTATAGTTTTTTTCACACGTCCATCACTCTCATTCACGTTTGGACTATTTTCTAGTCAGCAGCTCATTGTTGACTGACATTTCAGACACTGAGATACACCCAATAATTGTCAGCGACCATGCTCCGGTTTCTTTAACTCTGGTAAATAAGAAGACATATTTTAACCAAGCAAAAACTGGAGGTTTAATACATCACTGCTCAAAGACGAAGGTTTTATAGATTTTTTTAAAAAGGAGTGGGCTTTATATTTAGAACATAATGACCTGCCTGGAACATCAGCATCGGTTCTCTGGGAGGCAGGAAAGGCAGTGATGAGAGGTAAAATAATCTCTTTCTCATCACATAAGAAAAAAGCAGAAAACTAACGTATTCAGGAGTTAGAAGAAATCATTAAGTCTTTAGAGGCATCCACAGAAGAAGAGTTACTGAGCAAATTACGTAAAGCTAAATTAGAACTTCATGGAATTATTGACAAAAAGACACAATTTTTAGCACAAAGACTACGAATAGAAAACTTTGAACATAGTAATAAATCAGGTAAATTTTTAGCTAGCCAATTAAAAATAAATAAAGAGAGAAGTACCATATCTGCTGTTAAAGACTCAACCGGGAATATAGTTTATGACCCTGAAAGCATGAAAAACACTTTTAGAGACTTTTACCAAAATTTGTACTCACCACAGATAAACCCATCAGATAATGAGATCAATGAGTTCCTTGACAGGATAACACTTCCTAAATTATCAAACAGCCAAGTTACAGTCCTGGACTCGCCACTAACATCAGCTGAGCTCCAGGAAGCCTTTAAATCCATGACTAATAGGAAAGCTCCAGGTCCAGACGGGTTTCCAGCAGAGTTCTACAAAGAATTCTGGATCATTCTGGCTCCAATATTTTTCAGAATGGTGAGGGATATCGAAGAGAGCAGCAGATTACAGCCAAACATGAATTCAGCCAATAGTAGTCTCTTGTTGAAACCAGGCAAAGACCCTGCATTTCCTACCAGCTATCGCCCCATAACCCTTATTAATGTTGATCTCAAAATAATTTGTAAAGCCCTGGCAAAAAGATTAGAGACGGTAACCCCCTTCATAATACACCCTGACCAAACTGGTTTCATCAAGGGTAGACAGTCATTCACTAACTCACGTAGATTACTTAATTTGATAGATTTCTCTTACAGTAACTGGTGTCAATCAACTGTTCTACGCTTGTGCTGGTTTGTGCTGCTAAAATTGTCGTTTGTGCTGCTTCTGTCTTGAAGATATTAATGAAAATGTAAAGGTCAAAAGGTCAACCAGCCCCCCCACCTTCTTCAAATCCAACAAAAGTGGTATCAAACCATTGTGCTACGTTTGTGCTGGTTTGTGCTGCAAACATTTTTGTTTGTGCTACTATCATTTTAAAGATATTAATAAAAATTTCTAGAGATCATCAGAGGTCAACCAGCCCCCCATTAATGGAATCAAACAAAACAGGTGTAAATCATTTGTGCTACGTTTGTGCTGGCTTGTGCTGCTAAAATTATCGTTTGTGCTGCTGTCGTTTTAAAGATATTAATAAAAATTTCTAGAGGTCATCAGAGGTCAGCCATCCCCCCCATCCCCCCACATTAATCAGGGTATCTGCAGGTTTAAGGGAGCCAAATTTAAGACTTTTTAAGACCTTTTTTAAGGCCACTTTGACCAAAATTAAGCTTGTCGTCGTCTTCCTCTGCTTCTCCGGGTCCGGGTCATGGAGGCAGCATCCCAACTAGGGAGCACCAGACCGTCCTCTCCCCGGCCAACTCCACCAGCTCCTCCGGCAGGACCCCAAGGCGTTTCCGGACCAGATTGGAGATGTAACATCTCCAACGTGTCCTGGGTCGACCCGGCGGCCTCCTGCCGGCAGGACATGCCCGAAACACCTCCCCAGGGAGGCGTCCGGGAGGCATCCTGACCAGATGCCCAAACCACCTCAATTGACTCCTTTCGATCCAGATCCAAATTTAAGCAATTTTTAAAATTAATTTTAAGCCATAATTTACAGCTATTGCCTGGAACCGGTGCTAACCACGTCGCAAACATGGGATTAGCCATCCAGTTACCATTAAACTTGCACTTCTCCATGGCGCAAGCTCCCACTAGCTTAACCAGCTAACGTGCTCATCTAAAAACAGGAAGTGTGGATGGAGTAAGACGCTGGTAGGGGGGTGACTTGCTCTTGAAAAAGTTGAGCAGTTACTTTTCTAGACAGGACCAGGTTGGTTTTGAAAGCTTTTTTCCCTTTTAATAAATGAAATTGTTATATGAAAGATGTGTCTGTATTTACTCTGGTTTCTTGTTGGATATTAGACTTTAGAAATCTTAACACATTTTCAGAACTGTGTTTCTTTTTGAAATCCCATTTTTAACATTTAAAATAAAAATGTTTCAACTTCTCACGAACATTAAATAGACATGCATCTATGTTTTAAAACTGCAAGACTTCAGGAAATGTTTAATTTTCATCATGATCCATGAATCTACTGAAAATCAGCGTCACAAATCACTGCTATAGTTGCAGAGGTAACTCATCTCACCTGGGGAGCCGTACTCGTGGCGCGGTAAACGGCAGATCTTGGGCATCACTTCTATCAGAGTTTTTACATACTGCAGTATGGTGCCCTGCAGCTATGAAGCAACACAAAGATGGATAGATCACAGAAGACAAAAAGCAGAAGAGGGCACAGAGAGAAGAGAGGATAATACATTTAAAACCCCATCACACTGGGGCAAGAAAGCTGTGTAGTTTCAGGGATGAAGGAATGAAGATAAAATACCAGACTCTTGACAATCTTAAGCAGCTCCTCCATCACCACAGCGATGCCTTGGTAACCGAGGAGGCGGCAGATGGTCTTGAAGTGAGGCGGGCCAACAAAGTTTCTGTAGGAGCTGTATATGTGAGAGTAGGCGATGTTCAGAGGCTGGAAAGAGAACAGAGTGCAGCTTAACGGAAAGTTTGTCTGGAGTCGTTAAATCAACAAGAGGAGCTCATACCTTGGACCCATACAGGTAGTAAGGCTGCACGTTGGCTGGCTTATCTCTTTGAGGCTCCTGGGTGAAGGGAATAGCTGTGCGTACAAAGCTAAGAAAAGGAACAGAACGATTAAACGTCAAAGGGGAAAGAAGATAAAAGGTTCGTCTGTGTGCCACCAGCGGACCGACCGGTTGGTGGATCCGTTGTAGCAGTAGTTTGGGAGGAAGTCAAAGTTGAGCTCCCAGAAAACGTGCAGCGTGATTCGTCCGTAGGGAGCGGAGACGTTGTGGTTGGCCTCGCGGAACATGGCGTCAAAGCTGTCCAGAGTCAGGTGTTTGGACAGGAGTCGGTGGGTTAGTCTGTTGATTTCCAGCAGCCACTCCAACTCCTGTACAGGTGGTAGAGAGAAGTGTTAAAAACAGAGCTAAGGGAGGGGGTAAAACCCTAAAGAAATCCGCGACGCTGTCAAATATTTACACCAAAAATCTGATATCTGAATCTTGAATCTTCTGATAATGGAAAGTCCTACATTTGTGTGTGTGAGGGCGAGCGAGAGAGAGAGAATTCTGTGTAGAGCCCTGCACTGGAGCCCTAGGCGCGCGGGTCAGCCCGGCCCGATGGCCTTCGGGCCAACGACTGTGTAATTACCACGGACACGGGCCGGGCGCCTTTATTTTTAATCGAATTCATTACAAAAAAAAAACTGAAACACTTAAACGCAGCAGCACCTGCCTGCTTCTCACGCACCGGCACCCGTTAGCTCAGTTAAGGTCTGTGTGGTTTATAAATGCGCCTATATAAACGAATCCTCAAACTGCTGATTGAAACATGTGCCCCTATTCTAATATGCCATTTTATGTCCACTCTGATGTCAGAAACCATTTGTTTATTCTCATGAAAATGGCAGCATTCTATTTTTCTGTGAATAAATTCGCTCTGCAGTTAAAAAAAATACTTCATTCATTGCTGGTTTTTTTCTAACTGGAGAGAGCATTTTCAGAGCGGCAGATTTAATTTACAAACGCTATATTAACTGGGGGCGTTTATTTAATCTGCCGCTCTGAAAATGTGCTGCAGTTAGAAAATTAGAATACTGCTTTTTTTTCTAATTGCACAAGAGCGCATTTTCAGAGCAGATTAAATTTACAAACGCATCCAATTAATATAGTGTTCGTAAATTTCATCTGCCGCTCGAAAAATACGCTCTGTTAGAAAAAAAGCTGCATTGATGCTGTTTTTCTTTCTTTCTTTCTTTTTTTTTTTTAACTGCAGAACGCTTCTCACAGACAATTAGAATGCTGAGCATTCTATCACGCTAAAACATTATGAAAGTTAAAAAAAAAGTCGGGCTCGGGTCGGGCCAGAGAATCCTGAAAACCTTTTCAGACCGGGTCGGGCTGGGGCTCCACCCCCTCGGGCCGGGCCGGACACGGGCTCAGATTTTAGGCCCGTGCAGGGCTCTAATTCTGTGGTGCTGATCAAAATAAATCATCTGATATTGTACAGGTCCTTCTCAAAAAACTAGCCTATTGTGATAAAGTTCATTATTGTCTGTAATGTACTGATAACCGTTAGACTTTCATATATATTAGATTCATTACACACAACTGAAGGTGTTGAAGCCTTTTATTGTTTCTAATATTGATGATTTTGGCATACAGCTCATGAAAACCTAAAATTCCTATCTCAATAAATTAGCATATTTCATCCGACCAATAAGAGAAAAGTGTTTTTAACACAAAAAAGTCAACCTTCAAATAATTATGTTCAGTTATGCACTCAGTACTTGGTCGGGAATCCTTTTGCAGAAATGACTGCTTCAATGTGGCGTGGCATGGAGGCAATCAGCCTGTGGCACTGCTGAGGTGTTATGGAGGCCCAGGATGCTTCGATAGCGGCCTTAAGCTCATCCAGAGTGTTGGGTCTTGCGTCTCTCAACTTTCTCTTCACAATATCCCACAGGTTCTCTATGGGGTTCAGGACAGGAGAGTTGGCAGGCCAATTGAGCACAGTAATACCATGGTCAGTAAACCATTTACCAGTGGTTTTGGCACTGTGAGCCAGGTCGTGCTGAAAAATGAAATCTTCATCTCCATAAAGCTTTTCAGCAGATGGAAGCATGAAGTGCTCCAAAATCTCCTGATGGCTAGCTGCATTGACCCTGCCCTTGATAAAACACAGTGGACCAACACCAGCAGCTGACATGACACCCCAGACCATCACTGACTGTGGGTACATGACACTGGACTTCAGGCATTTTGGCATTTCCCTCTGCCCAGTCTTCCTCCAGACTCTGGCACCTTGATTTCTGAATGACATGCAAAATTTGCTTTCATCCGAAAAAAGTACTTTGGACCACTGAGCAACAGTCCAGTGCTGCTTCTCTGTAGCCAAGGTCAGGTGCTTCTGCCGCTGTTTCTGGTTCAAAAGCGGCTTGACCTGGGGAATGCGGCACCTGTAGCCCATTTCCTGCACACGCCTGTACACGGAGGCTCTGGATGGTTCTACTCCAGACTCAGTCCACTGCTTCCGCAGGTCCCCCAAGGTCTGGAATCGGCCCTTCTCCACAATCTCCCTCAGGGTCCGGTCACCTCTTTTCGTTTTCTGCCACACTTTTTCCTTCCCACAGACTTCCCACTGAGGTGCCTTGATACAGCACTCTGGGAACAGCCTATTCGTTCAGAAATGTCTTTCTGTGTCTTACCCTCTTGCTTGAGGGTGTCAATGATGGCCTTCTGGACAGCAGTCAGGTCGGCAGTCTTACTCATGATTGCGGGCTGGGTGTTTTTAAAAGCCTCAGGAATCTTTTGCAGGTGTTTAGAGTTAATTAGTTGATTCAGATGATTAGGTTAATAGCTTGTTTAGACAACATTTTCATGATATGCTAATTTTTTGAGATAGGAATTTTAGGTTTTCATGAGCTGTATGCCAAAATAATCAATATTAGAAACAATAAAAGGCTTGAACTACTTCAGCTGTGTGTAATGAATCTAATATATATGTAAGTCTAATGTTTATCAGTACATTACAGACAATAATGAACTTTATCACAATATGCTAATTTTTTGTGAAAGACCTGTATATATAGAAATTAATCAAATCTTCAAATTTAATCCCAAAAAGTGGGAGATTTCAGACATTTCTAATATAAAAGATCAAAAGAATTTTATCATCTAAAAATAGCCCCTTTCACAACCAACTGAATGCAGAACTGCCAACCTTGTCAAAATTTTTTGAGTACCACCTGTGCGGCATTTTTTTCGCGCACTTTTGCAACTCCATTGCTTTTCACGCTGTAATCTCCCCATTCACCGGATGGAAAATTTTACACACACACACACACACACTCACACTTTACCTTACGAGAACAGCAGCGAGTGGCGAACCGGAGGGAGAGAGGAGCAGGACGAAGCAGAGAGGAGGGTGCGGGGGTGTTACGCTAGGTTAGGCAGGACAGTTTTTCTCTGCTTTTCTACGATGATTGGTTTAAACTTCTTCACCGCGCCGCTGAGCCGTGTTTTTCAGACATGAGTACCACACATGCATATTTGCCACAGAACTCAACTCACGTGCTTTTTGCGTAGTTTAGAGGGGTGAGTCGTACCAGCGTAAATAGATGTCAAATTGTGTACTGGCTAGGCAAAATGCGTAAAGGTTGGCCGAACGTGTAACGTTCCGCTTACGCCAACATCATACACAAAAGTGCTGAACACTAACTAGAAATTCACGAAAATTTTATAGAAATAAAAGAATCTTGTTTATTGGGTCTTTGGTAATTTAAGACCTTTGGAAACTGTATTTAAGGATTATTTGTCATTTTTAAGGATTTTTAATGCCTTAAATTTGGAAAAGCAAAATTAAAACTTTTTAAGGACCAGTGGATACCCTGAGCTCTATGTTTGTTAGCCATGACGATAGATTTAGCTCTGTTTATTGACAGCAAGTAGATAAACAACTGCGGTCAACGGGGACGTGCAGGCATCTTGCCCTCCAGCCAGGGGCGGGTGTGTGGGCATGTGATGTCATGCTGCAATGGGTCTATGGGCCTTAATATGTTGTCCTAAAAGTGAATGCCATCTTGCTCCTCTTACCACAATGGAGGTGAGATCCTCACTCTCAAAGCGACTGATGGCGTGGTCCAGAGACTTGTACATCGCTGCAGAGATCCTCTGAGTGATCAGACGGTTCAGGTCAATCGATCGACCCAGTAGCTGAAAAATCACCAAGATCAAACTAAACGAACAGCTGAAACTAAACACATTCACTGAAATTAAAATGTCCTAAAATCATGTCCCATCAGATGAGCAGCAGAGAGTTGTCATGTACCTGTACGTGTCTCTGTTTGAGCAGCGTCTCATAACGGTTCGAAGGAGGATACGGGATGATGACGCCGTAGTTTTTACACTCTGCTCTGAAGCGCTTGTCTAGCAGGACGCTGTGAAGCACATTAAAATTGGATTCAGGAGAAAATGTTCATAAATATGGCTGCAACTCCTGACAGTAACTTCAAAACATATAAGGAGCAAGTGCATTCCTCTACCTTCCAGCCATTGCTTTGTAGTAGGCAAAAATCTGATCTGCCAACTTGTAAACAAACTGATCAAAGCAGAGGTTTACCTACAAACAGGAAAAACAGGATCAATTTTTGACTTCTGAACCAGTTTGAGAATCACAGAGGCATTCAGCCATACCTCGGCTTCAATTTCATCATACAGAAACTGTTTTTTGAACTTGGTGAGGGCGTAATAGCCGCTGTCGTTATACAAGTCTAGAGGGTACAGGACGTATCTGCAAGAACAACAGTAAAAATTAGGATCCTGCTGGTGCTTAAAAAAAAATACTTATCTGATTTAACTTACTCCATCATGGAAGGCTCTTTGGTCTCCAGGATGTGGTCGGTCAAGATCCAGGGCATGGACATCTCAATGGGGAACTGGATTCTGCGACCCATGGTTAGCTCCAGGAAGAACTCTCTAAACCACAGCTGGGACAGGTCACAGCACTGCTGCAGGGCCTCTGATCAGACAACAGACAGGAAGTGACCCACTTAAAAGTCAACAGATCATTAGAGCAGAAGTTTGCTGCCACGGTGATGTATTGCTCCTGACTGAAACTTGGCTAAATAAGTTGAGTACAAAACTAAACCTAGAGTTATGAGTTATATAAAACTTATACTGAAGTTATAAAAACTCACCACTGAAGTTGAGCAAGTGTGTGAAGAAGAAGGATTGCTTATGGAAGTCTTCTATGGCTACCACGATGGGTCCATCAAGGCTGCTGCGGAGAGTCTTCTTAGATCCACTTTTATCTGCGATCAGTGACTCCAGCATGGTGCGTACCATGTACAGCTAGAGGGGACAGGAAACCAACAAATGCATCAAAAAGACCAGATCTCTGTCTAGAAAGACCTTCAGAGTTTCAAGTTTCCTTTGGAGACGCCATAAGGATTGTTGGTCCAACTGCCCCTCTTCCACTAGCACACCGTAAGCTTGGTTCCAAGACTTTCCCACTTTTAACAGGAATTAGTAATTGCTGTTCTGAGATGCCATCGTTATCCAAAATCCTAAATCCCCCTCAGGACAGAGTCAGAAAAACAATCCTAGAAAGCTCTGTAAGTATCTACGCTACTTCAACTAAATAATTCCTGATGGTGGGACGACGTTGGCTCAGGAGTTAAGTGCTCACCCTGTAATCGGAAGGTTACACAGGTTCGAGCCCCGCACAGCCTGTCGCTGTCTTTGTGTCCTTGGGCAAGACACTAAAGCCACCTCGCTGCTGGTGGTGGTCGGAGGGACCAGTGGGGCCTGTGTGCGGCAGACTCGCCTCTGTCAGTGCGCCCCAGAGCAGCTGTGGCTACAGTGTAGCTCATCCCCACCAGGGTGCAAATGTGTGTGTGAATGGGTGAATGACTGTGTTGTAAAGCGCCTTGGGGGGTTCCAGGACTCTAGAAGGTGCTGTGTCAAATACAGGCCATTTACCCAAAGGGAAAAACATCCATTTAAATCTCGTAAAAGTCCAGTTTTTTGTCTCCCAACACAAAAAGACAGAAACATCCAGAAAGACTTCCTGTCGTTCCTCCTAGGTCTTACCTGTGTGCTGGAGGGTCCCACGGCTCGTCGAGGCACCTTAATGTCAAAGCCGCCCTTCGGGTCCTTCTCCCCCCTCAGGCAGGGGTCATTTGGAGGCTCTCTTCCGCCTTCCCAATCACAGACAGTCTTCCGAATGGCCTGAAGAACACTGTTCAGAAAGGATAATACTTAATCCAGGAAATTCAGATGACAAATGAAGTAATTACACAACTGCTTCTGTTATTCTGCTACAGAAAGGAAACGCAATCGTTCTGATGCTACGAGTACCTAATGAGGACATTCTTCTTCTTGCGTACAGCCTGGCGTAGAGGCTCTCTGAGGGTCACCTGGGCAAAGTCCTGCAGAGCTGCATAGATTGTGTTCCTTATGGCCTGGTTAAACACCGACTCCATCCGACCCATCAGGACCTAAACACACAGAAAGAGCAGCTTTACAAATGCCTTGCTTGAGCTTTTATTAGAATTTCTTTTACATGCCAAGTTTCGCGTTTGACCTGCAGCCCTTTGATCATGGCGATGACCTCCACCAGAGCAAACTTCTCCTCGCTGGTGTAGTTGTAGCGCGTGGCGCGCTCATACTCCTCCGCCGTTCCTGGGCAGTCTTTGTTGCAGAATTTATCCGTGGGATGAACCAGCTTCCAAGAGTACTGACAGTTGAAAGTAGATCATAACAAGAGCCATCAGCGGCAAAACCAATTACAATCTCCTCCACTCTGAGTTCCTCTTTCACTCACAACTTCCATGACGTGTGTGCTCCACTTGGACAGCAGCTGCAGACCCCTCAGAGACAGGTCGAACAGCTCCCGGTACTCATCGTCGGACTTCTGGCTGTCCAGGCCCGAGCCTGTCACCACCTCGTTGTTGCTGTAGCGCGCCAGTTCCGAGATGAAGCGGATGTGGTCGTCCCTGATCTGCACCATCTGCTCGCACAGGTTGTACTGTGGCGAGATGCTGCTCTGGGTGCACGTCCACCTGTGCAAAGACGAGACAAAGATGGAGCAGACGGCACGGCGGGGAATCTTTTCTATTAGGTTTTTTTTTACGCTTGTTGAGGGGTTTTATTCGAGAGTGGACCATATTGCTTTACCTAGACTTGTTTTCTTCGTAGTGAGCACTTGTTTCAATATAGCGAGATAACTCGATCTGCATGTCTCCAAATAAAGGCACAACCTGCAGCTAAAGAACAAAAACACATCTGGATACCTGCTGTACTCTTTAGTTGGATTAAACGAGTCCAAAACAAAAGTTTACTTTAAAGAATTTGTCAATCTTGCTCAGGTTGATCCGCTTCTTGGCGTCCAGTTTGTAGATATTACTCACATTCCCATCCATCAGGTACAATCCAAAGCCCATAACCTGTCAGACATTTGGAGGAACAGGCAAGAGGGGAATTAAAACAAAGGATCAGCCTGAGATCTGATTATTTTATATGAGCATTTGTACCTTAAGCAGCATGTGTTTCTCACTGGGCGTCAGATACATTTTGTTCTCATAATAGTCTACACAGATGTTGACGATGTCTGCCAAAAGCTCCTCGTAGCCCGGAATCACCTCCAGCTGTTGGTGCAGGCACTACAGGAGGAGAGACGGGACAAGCTGCACTAATTAAGGGTAGATATTAAGGGTCACTGTCTCTAGCTTACTAAGCTAACATTTTGTTTTAAGAACAGGTGTGTGTGTGTGCGCGCACTGATATGGTTTTGTGTCTACCAGTCCCTGTGAACCAGAGGGGCCCAAACCTTTCAAGTAAAGTGTTAATGTTGAGTTAAAATCTGTTGCTGGACTCAAAAATGTGAATATTTTTAATTTGAAGAGTAAAAAAAAAAAAAATAAAAAATTTTACTGTACGGATGCATGGGTATTCAATATTAATAGGTCATTTATGGTTGATAACTGATATTTGCCGACACACATAAATATATATAGTGTTGGGAGTTATGGTGTTTAGTATAAAGGCTTTATTTTTTAGGTAACAGATTAAACAAATTAATTACTTTTTCCATTGTCGCAACGCCATTACTGTTATTTGGCATGTGAAAAAAATACATATATATATATATATATATATATATACACACACATACACACATATATATATTCGTATATATACACGTATATATATATACATATATATGTACATATATACGTATATATATATATATATACACGTGTATATATATATATATATATATACATATATATATATATATATATATACATACATATATATATATATATGCATATACATATAAATGCATATGTATATATATATATATATATATATATATATATATATATATATATATATATATATATATGTGTAAGTATGTATGCATGTAAATATATATATATAATATTTATATATAATTATATAAATACAATATATATTATATATATTTATATATATATATTATATGTATATATATAAAATATATACATTTATATATATTTTATATACACACACACACACACACACACACACACACACACACATATACATCCATGCGCTGACATTTATGATTTTGAAATCAGCAAATGTTGTATTGACTGAAAATTATGCTAGCTGAAATTTGAATGTTGTGCTTTATTTCTATAGAGTGCAAACTAGATGTGTGTTTAAACACCACACACATTTTTCCTTCTGAGATGATTACCATCACTGTCACATGACTAAACAATAACACATCATCACCCCCTCACCCTCTGTAACAGACACACAAACTGAAACAAGATGGAAAAAATATTGGTTGTTAAAATTGTCCCAGGTTTACGTACGGACCGATACCGATATGTTAAAAAATGACTAACACTTCCTTTGTACTGCTCTAAAATAGGCCTGATATGTATAAAGATCTCAGTGTGAAAAGAAGTGTTGATCTACATCAACATCCTGGTCATCTCTGTGGTCGGCCAGCATCCCGCACTGGACTTGGACACATTTAGCAGGATATCTTTATCTGGTTCTCAGCTCTGTGAAGCGAGCCTGGTGAGCCACTTCCTGTTTGCAGGACGGTAAAAACAGTTTGTGGTTGTCGTAAAGGTATGAAGAGAAACTGTCTTTCCCTTTTTACCTCCTGATCATTCGACTTCTCAGTCCTGGGTGAAATGGACCCAAACTCGTCCCTTGATACTTTTGACTGTTAGGTGTCAAAGCTACATGTCTCAAATGCCACGGGAACTTTTATTTGAAACATATTTATAATCATTATAAAACAATTAAAATTCCATATGTTGCAGCCAGGGGTGGGGTTTATCGTGTCATTCACAATTATACTGCAAATGTCTTTTGATCAAGAAAACATACACATAAACATACATGGTAGTTTCTGAGGTATTTTGGCCACTGCAGGCCACCGTACCTGTTACCTGATTTCCATTTCCTCCTAACTGGTAAAATGTTAGATTAGCAGATTAACCAGATGACAACACCTCTCCAGGAACACGTCTAAAACAATTCCACTGTTTTAGCATATAAGGGCATAATGGCTGCAACCCATTCTACTGAGGATGAAGAGCCTACCTGAGTAATCCTGTTGTGGTTGGCTAGGAACATGGAGAGGTTTTGGGACTCCTGGATTGACTGAGGGTCGGCCATCTTCCTCAGGAACTGAGCTGCTCTAAAGTCACAGGAGCAGAGAAACGTCTGAATGTTGGTCGTTCAAACAAAAATGTGGATTTTCCCATGGAGGCTTTAGGGACCTTTTGTAAGCAGAGTGGTCGTTCTTCACGCTACACTTCATGTTCTTCAGCTCGTCCAGAACGGCAAACATGTTGATGAATTTGCCGAGCGTGAGCAGGTAGGCCTCGGACACAAAATCTTTCCTCCTCTCAGCGTGGCACAGACGCTTCACCTCACTGCAGAAACGTTCTATGGCCTTACGCTAAAAAATAACAAATATTAAACTGACACTGACAACGTCATCAATACAAATGTCAACTAGACTTGGAAACATCGGCCACAATCATCTCATCCAATTTCATCTTTCACCTCACCCCGACTTTCCTGGATTTTCTTGTCACAAACTAAATGCTCAGACTCACCTGGAAGTACATGAACTTCATGAGCTTGGTCACTTCAGGCTCCAGCACCTCCACTGTCTTCTCATAGATCTCCACCCTGTTGGGCTGCTCGTTGCATTTCACCTAACAGACACAAGATGGCGCCATCACATACAGCCTGACAGGAGCTCAGCTCACACTCTAAACCAAATGAAAGCAGCCGATTGAAGGTAAACATGATAACCACGCCCTAGACAGTGCGAGACAGTCGTGTCAAGGTTCAAGGCCCAGTTCATTAGGTAAACACCCACATGTCGTGCTAAAGAACCTCTACCACTTACAAAAGCCCTAAAAACAATTACATTTTGCAAGAAAACTTAACAACTGGGGTCAGAATCAAAAACCAGTTCTTGTTGAGAACCAGTTCCCAGTGTTTCGACTCCTAGTTTGCCATTTTTGCAAACGATTCCCTGATCAATTCCATGACATCACCACGCACATTTCGCAGCTTACACAAGCTACGTTGCATAGCTTACGCATTTCCTCAGCAGGAAACATGGTGCCTGAGCGGCACAAACACTTGAAAGTTTGATTATACTTTACGAGAAAGGATGACAACAGGGCCAGTTGCAATACTTGCAAAGTAGATATTTCATCAAAGGGAGGAAACACTACAAATACGCAAAAGCGTTTGCGCACAAAATCCTTGATAACTTCAAAGCGAACGTTGTGCTTTTGATCCGCTCCGGACTAGTGAAGTCCAATGCAGCAGCGGTGGCGTTTCCACGTTCTCTCCTGCTAATACTGCAGGTAACGAATCGACTCACGCTGCCTTTCATGTTAGTGTCATTCTAGACACCTTCACACTAGCAGACTCCAGCGACTAAAGTCAGACCTGTGGTAAGATTTTGCCCAGTTTGCAGAAGCTACGGCAACACTACACCGTACAAGAAGATGACTCACTTCCCAAGGAGCATCGAAGAGAACATTTGTAAAGACCTTTCCAAACGATACCATATTTATCACTGATAAACTGAGTTATAATGCAGGAGACCATGCGCAGTTAATTTTTTGCCACCTATTGAATTAATCAAGAATCGATAAGGGAATCGATAAGGGTCTGGAATGATAGACAGAATCAACAATGGCATTGATACTGATAAAAACTTATCACTTCCAAACTCCTAGTAATGATGGTTTATTGGATGTCATCCTTAGTTTGATGATCAAGACCATAAATAACCTGAGGTGGGACCAAGTCACTGTCACCTTCAAGTCTACATTTATTTTACTGAAGTCTTAAAAGAAACAAAAATCCAGAGTCAAGTCTAGTCCCGGGACATCTGTCTGAAGTAAAACCATTGTCCTAAGCTTTAAGTCCATCCATCCATTATTGTCCGCTTTTCCGAGGTCAGGTCACAGGGCAGCAGTCTAAACAGGGTGGCCCAGACTTCCTCCTCCTCAGCCATTTAGGCAGGCTCCTCCAGGGGAGTCTAAAGACGTTCCCTGGTCAGCCAAGAGACGTAGTCGCTCCAGCGTGTCCGGGGTCTTCCTTTGGGTCTCCTCCCGGTTGGACGTGCCCAGAAAACCTCACCAGGGAGGCGTCGTGACCAGATGCCTGGCCCACCTCAACTGGATCCTGTTGATGTGGAGGAGCAGCAGGTCTACTCCAAGCCCCTCCAGGATGGCAAAGCTTCTCACCCCATCTCGAAGGGCGAGCCCAGCCACCCTGCAGAGAAAACATATTTCTGCTGCTTGTATCCCCAACATCATTGTTTTGTCACTACCCAAAGCTCGTGACCACAGGCGACGGTCGAAACGTAGATCAAACGGTACATCAAGAGCTTTGCCTTCCTGATCAGCTCTCTTTACCTCGTCAGACCAGTACAACACCCGCATCACTGCAGATGCAGCACCAATCCGCCTGTTGATCGTGAACAAGACCTCAAGACACTTTAACTCCTTCACTTGTGGCAGAATCACGTCTCTAATCCAGAGAAGGGATTCTACCCTTCTCTGTCTGGGATTTGGATGAGCAGACTCGCTTCCTGGCTGCTCCACACTTGGCCGCCAACTTCTCCAGTGAAAGCTGGATGTCTGGTGAGATTGCACTTTATTTACAGAGCAATTACAAATAAATTCAAGACATTAAGAATGCTTCTTAAAAAGTCCATTAAGCAGTCAGAAAAATATTATATTTTCTCCATGTGTGAGATATAAACTCTTCACGATCACCACACTCAAGTCCAGGTGAAGTCTAGATTCACCGCTGTTAAGCGTCAGTAGAGCCCTAAAGTCTTTAGTGATGTCTTCAAGTCGAGTCTTAAGCTGACTTGAGGTAAAGTCGTGTGACACCTCTGAGAAGACCCCTGCTGGAGTGTGTGTAGAAAGGACAACGGTGTGTTCGTGTGAACCTGTGGAATGGCTCTGGAGCAGCTCCTCCATGTGTAAAGCATCACAGCATACTCGTGTCCTTCCTCCAGCATTTCATTCTGCAGAAACACACATTTTTTTCCATTCTTAATGCAAAATTGGACAAAAACCTAAGATGCAACTGTTAAACAGTTGCACTGTTTGCAAAGCCACCAGTGAGCACAGACCACTGAAACGTGAGGTGAGTCACTTGTTCCCAGACGTGATGAACATTTTAGCAGGGTTAGATAGCTTCCTCTTAGAACTAGGTAGAGCTCTCAAACAGACCGACTTTAACCCCGGTTGCACTTCCTGGTAAATAGGGTTAATGAAAGCCCTACACCTCCTCTTTACGAGTCAAATCACACTCTCCATTCATTCACAGGCAAGGAAAAAGCTTTAGTGGCCCACTGTCTGCCTGATTCACCCTTGTGTGAGTGGAATGTGTGTGTACGAGTGTGTGTCCTGGCACAGGCTGGGCCAAATCAATTCAACAAGGCTTCCTCAGCGAGGATGCGGCAGCTTCCCACAGTCGCCTTTGTGCTCACTGAAACTGGAACAAAACCTGCTAAATTTGGGAGCACGAATGAAAACAACTCAACAAGGAGATGTAGAAATAACGGTGATGGGTTTCTCACCATGCTGGAGTGGACTGTGGCCTGCTCTATGTAGCGGGCGATGCCGGTCACAAAAGCATTTCTGTCCTCAAAGTTGGTGTCAAAGTTTGCCTGGAGAACGAGAGACAGAGGTGGTTTAAGTTGGTCCAGTGGGGGGTCGCGGTGGGAGGTGGCAACAGTGTGTGAGTGTGTGTGTGTTTGCACCTGGTACATGATCGAAGAGGGGGGAGGTTCGATGCATGGTTGCTGGTCGGGCAGGGGCAGCTCCTCCAGCAGGTCCACGTTGGACAGAGCATCCTCCAAGGTCACGTGGGTCGTCATGGTAACAAGAACTCACTCAAACAACAGGTCTGACAGAAGCAGAGAAAAGGGAATATGACATGAATACAAAGAGGAAGAATATGAATCATTTGGATCAGATCTACTCTTAAGGAAAAAACGTCATCCAGACGAGTCGCAGTGGTTCTCAATCCTGGTTCTGGAGGGCCTGATTTCATTCAGCAGGTGATTAACAGGCTTCTGCAGAGCCTGACGAGCTGCTGCACAGGTGACTCAACCACTGAATCATGAGTGTTGGAGCAGAGAAACCACTCAAATGTGCTGAAAAGCGGAACTCCAGGACCAGGACGGACAACCACTGTTTTAGAGGGATCAGGAGAAACACCTGACCAGTTCCTTCACACTGGACTTGGACCCTGCTACATTCTCCAGGACTGTGGAGAACATGGTGATGACCACGGAAGCCCATCCCTGCTCGACTCCCATGGACCGTGTCAAAGTGTAGCAGTAAACTAGATGATCTAGATCAGTGGATCTCAATCCTGGTTCTGGAGGGCCGCTATCCAACATGTTTTAGCATTAACCCTGCTTCAACACACCTGATTTCATTCAGCAGGTGATTAACAGGCTTCTGCAGAGCCCGACGAGCTGCTGCATCAGTGCTGGAGCAGAGGAACAACAAACAAGCTGGCTGTCTCCAGGACCAGGTCTGACAACCACTGATCTAGATGCATGCTTGTGCATTTCCAAAGCCCCTGCCAATCTCTCACACCTTCCAACGTGTAATGGTAGACGGCCCGTATTTGATACAGCGTTTTCTAGGGTTTTACAACCCCCCCAAGATGCTTTACAACACAATCATCCACCCAAGCACACACACACACACACTCACACACACCAAGAAAAATATCCAGTGCGCCTGTTTGAGGACGTTGAAGTTGGCTGGAGGAGAAAGAAGCGTCACGTGGTTAGCTTCTACTAGTCGAGACGTCCTCTACTCTTTCCTGGATGCTAAACCAACAACAGCCTGGATATCGGAGCTTCTCGGCTTAAAGCAGCCTGAAAGGAGGATGGGTGGGCGTAGCCAGCAACAGCCTCTTTTCCTAACGTGACAGAGCCCTGAAGCTCTTCATTCTGGAAGGTGCTGGCACTGTCAAGCATTAAACTGCTGGAACGGCTTTATGTGAGGGATTTAGTGCAAAAGACTTGATGAATATGTTTTTTATATATGACAGAACTGTTAAGACTTCAGAGCAAGTCACTCCAAATCAGTACTTTTTTGCTGATAAACTATATGAATGAGTGTCTGATCGTGCTGTAGACATGTGCAGTCAATAATTCGGCACTTTAGTGCATCTTAGTTAAAATTTAAATATTCTGCCTAAAACTGTCAGTCTTGCACCGTCGTCAGGTAAAAACCTAGCACTGCATTTGAATTTAAATCTGCCATCGCTATTGGCTGAGTGGTACACGATGATCTTAGATTGTACATTATGATGTCACAATTGTAGCGTCATGAATGTCCTGTTTTTGACCTAAAGGTCATGATGTGCTGTGTCTGTTTGAGCAGAGACATAAAGTCTCTGACAGGCTAATCTACATGAGATAGTGGCCAAGGTCGGATGGCGTTTCATGTGTGTTATAAATCTCCGACTAAAGTTTAGAGCGAAACATTCACTCCCACTCAGAACTAACTGCTTCTCCGGATCCGCTGGTTCTGATAATAACATCCCACACACACCACCATCATTCATCACGTCTCACTCCACCTTCATCCATCTGTACACAGAGTGTTAAAGTTAGTCTTGTTTTAATTGTGTAGAAATACATTTCTTAACTATTATAAACCTGACTCTCTCTCTTTCCTCGGAGTTAATACGAAGTGTCGCTTAATCCCTGCAATAAAAAGTTCTGACCTTCTGGTTAAAACATTCAAAGATCCATCAGATTGATATTTCATATTTCTATGGAATCTCACATTTTATGGTTCATAAAACAAGATGTAAACGACTCATCCTTTACACAATGTTGTGTGTGTATTTGCTAGCGGCTCCGCCCTCTCGGTCTGCTAGGCAACAGCCTTTGTTGCATTTTTCAAACAGGAAGTGGGAGTTGAGTAAGAACCTGGTAGCGGGTGACTTGCTCTTTAAGAAAAAAGTAATAACATATCCCCTTGAAAGAAACTGCTTTAAAAATGTTTTTGAAATAATGGATACGATGGATTGCTCAGTTTTATGCAACATTCCGATAAAACACAAATATTCCTTTTCAGTCATCCGAGGAATGTCCATTTCATTACATCTTTAGGATCTTTGTTCATTCGATGCAGTGTGGTGCTTCTATCTGTTCGCCCTGCACCTGCATCCCCTCACGTACGACACCACCAGTCTAACCCAGCTGGGGTTAGAGAGGGGAAGAGGCCCCTAACTGTTTCCGTTTTGCCTCTACGTGCACACCGGTAGCAAGTCATTCCTCAATGCCAAGAGAGCAAAAAAAAAAAAAAAAAAAAAAAAACTGTCTGATATTTATAAGAAAAACCAACACGATAATAGAGCAGACGGATATTTCTGTCACCCAAAACAAATGGCAGGATTTATATAGCAGCACAGATAAACTTTCACCTCATTCACACAGATATAATGAAGTTTTAGATGTGGTTAATAAATGAACAGTGCACGCACCAGCACAACAGCACCAGCGCTCAAATATAAAGCCAAAGCAATGTGTGTGTGTGTGCATTCCGTGCATCATGTGTTCCTGAGAAATGAGTGTTCTCTATCTGAACTGGTAGCTGGTAATCAGCTTAATATTTAAGGCTGGAGATGGATGAAGTAGAGCTGAAAATGTAAAAAACCCACAAAAAGACATTTTCAACACCATCAGCAGAAGGAGAGGTGTACATGAACACCATCCACAAATACAAGACACTGTCGATAGCATCAGTCGTGCGTTTTATGCGATTAAAGAAGAGTTTATGTCACGACGTGCCTGAGCCACATGAGCAGATCTAACTGATGATCACACCATTAGAGGAGGTGGGTGGAGCTTCCTGTTGAGTCAAACTGTCACATCAGACACCAGCACAGGGTTAGGAGGAGTACGAGCCAAGAAGTCAGGCGTTCAACACTGACTGACATGTGTTATGTGCTTAGATTTGTAAAGAATTCTGTGTTTTTTTAACATACACAGGCGATTTTGTAGAAACGCACTCATTATTTGCATAGCGTCTGGAATCGGCTGATTTTCAGTGTGAATCTGTTTTATTTTCGTAGATCAGTAAATACAGTGAAGAAGAAGACGAATGTAGTTTTGCATGTCTAGGATGTGAACACACCATTGCTACATGACTTATCTGTTCCAGCAGCAGCACATCTCTGTCTGATTGTTGGACAGCTCAGACACAAGATCCTCTCAAAGGTCTATATTTCACAGAATTCTCTTTAAAATAAAACAAAATGTAGATTACCCAGAAAATTATCTTTCTGGGAGAACAAACCTCCACACGAGTGATTGGTTTACTGATTAGGTGGTAAAATCACTATTTTTTTCAACATGAATCAACAACCTGTTTTCTGAGATTTAGCCCTGATTCTGATCATCAGATGATGTATTCTGGTGCATTTCTATATCTCTGTTATGGAAGTTTAAACAGAGCTGTGCATTTGTGTGATGTTCAGAAATAAACAGCAAAAAATACAAAAGCTGCAAGAATCAATTAGCTCGTTCCACTGCGGGCGTCGGGATGGAGCGGGCCGCAGTTTTGTAAAACTGGTCCAAACAACCGGCCTGGAACGTGCTGCTGACAGCACTTTCGTGGCCCCCTTCTGTTGAGGGCCGCATGTTTGTGGAACAGCACGGTTATAGGGCAGAGCAACACAGTCCACTGATTGGGAGACAGAAATCTGTCACTACCTGCAACAAGCCAAAGAAACCTCGGAGTTGTTTTTGTTTTCATTAGTTTTACACAGATCTGAGAAAATGTCAGCAAGTAGCAGCCAGGTTTGGTCAGCTGTAGACGTCCATACGTTCCTCACCATCGTCCTGAGAGTCAGGACGAGCTAGGTGGATCAATGAGGAATGAAAAGTTTTTAAAGACATTTGTCAGCGGATGGCAGCCGAAAGATTCGTAAAATAATTGGAATTTTTTAAGTATTTGTTCGTTTATGACAACATTACTTAACACTGTGAAAAACTGACATTGCTGTCAGTTTGACCAGACATAAAAAAATAATAAAGGTATTTAATTATAGATTTCAAAGACGGAAACTGCAGCGGTTCACAGCCGAGTGTGAAGCAGCTGGGATGAGAATCAGCTCCTCTAAATCTGAGACCAAGGTCTTGATTCGGAAAAGGGTAGAATGCCTGCTCCGGGTCAGGGACGAGGTCCTGCCCCAAGTGGAGAAGTTTAAGTATCTCGGGGTCTTGTTCACTAGTGAGGGAAAACTGGAGCGTGAGATCGATAGGCGGATTGGTGCTGCATCTGCAGTGATGCGGGCGTTGTACCGGTCTGTCGTGGTGAAGAGAGAGCCGAGTCAGAAGGTGAATCTCTCGATTTACCGGTCGATCTACGTTCCTACCCTCACCAATGGTCATGAACTTTGGGTAGTGACCGAAAGAACGAGATCGCGGATACAAGCGGCCGAAATGAGTTTCCTCCGAAGAGTGGCTGGGCTCTCCCTTAGAGATAGGGTGAGAAGCTCGGTCATTCAGGAGGGGCTCGGAGTAGACCCGCTGCTCCTCCACATCGAGAGGAGCCAGTTGAGGTGGCTCGGGCATCTGGTCAGGATGCCTCCCTGGTGAGATTTTCCGGGCACGTCAAACCGGGAGGAGACCTAAAGGAAGACCCAGGACACGGTGGAGGGACTATGTCTCTCACCTGGCCAGGGAATGTTTTGGCATTCCCCCGGAGGAGCTGGCCCAAGTGGCTGGGGAGAGGGAAGTCTGGGCCTCTCAACTTAGGCTACTGCCCCCGCGACCCGACTCCCTATAAGCGGATGAAAATGGATGGATGGATGGATGGATAAGCATCAGTTAAAATTTTGAATCCATTACAAAATCAAAAGTTGAAATC